CTAAGGTTGAACCCATGGGCCCCTAACATGGGCCCTTAGGGGATTCTAGGGTCCCTTAAGGGTATATATAGGGTATATAGTAGGTATATTAGGGTCCCAGGGTTAAGGGCCCATACTAGGGGCCCATGGGTTCTACCCTAGATCCTCAGGCTTGCTTCGGCTTAGGGTTTTGGGGTTTAGGGTTTTAGGCTTTAGGGTTTAGGGCTTTATAGGGTTTTAGGGTTTAGGGCTTTAGGGTTTTAGGGTTTAGGGTTTTAGGATTTATGGCTTTAGGGTGTAGGGCTTTAGGGGACTAGGGTTTAGGAATTGGGGGTTTAGGGGTTTAGGGGTTTTAAAAGTTCAGGGTTTGGGGTTTAAGGGTTTAGGGGTTTTAGGGGTTTGGGATTTGGGGTTTAGGGGTTTAGGAGTTTAGGGCTTTAGGGGTTTGGGGTTTAGGGCTTTAAGGGTTTGGGGTTCAGGGTTTAGGGGTTTCGGGGTTTAGGGTTTAGGGCTTTTGAGAGTTCAGGGTTTTAGGGTTTTAGGGTTTAGGGCTTTAGGGTTTAGGGTTTTAGGGTTTAGGGTTGAACCGGGGATAGTACATTAAGGTCCACTATAGCAGTCCCAATAACCTATTCCCCCATTCCCTACTAGGAGCCAGGCAGACTTGCGGCTTAGGGTTCTTGCCGAGGCTTTAAGGTTCAGGGTTTTGGGTTTTGGGTTTAGGGTTTAGGGTTTTGGGTTTGGGGCTTATGAGTTCAGGGCATAGGGCTCAGGGCGTACGGTTCGGGGTTTCTGAACCCCTACGTAACCCTAAACCCTAGATCGCAAACATCCCTAAACCCTACACCCTAAACATCCCTAAACCCTAAACCCTACACATCCCTAAACCGTAAACCCTGCACCATAAACATCCCTAAACCCTAAACCGTGAACACTAAACCATAAACATCCCTGAAACCTAAACACCAAACCGTGAACCCTAAACCGTAAACATCCCTAAACCCTAAACCGTAAACATCCCCAAACCCTAAACCGCAAACCCAAAACCGTAAACATCCCTAAACCAATCCCCTAATTCCTGAAGTCCTACACACTGACCCTCGGCCTTCAACATCTTTTCGTCAAAGAGCGGCTTTAATGTTGTGGCGCCGTGAGGTTCAGGGATTTTGGCTTTAGGGTTCTGTGGCTTATAGGGGCCTGATAGGGATTTCCGGGTTTAGGGTTTAGGGATTTAGGGTATAGGGGTTGAAGGCTTCGGGATTAGAGATTCCGGGTTTGAGGGTTAATCGGCATTCAGGGTTGGTTTGGGGCCTCTGCAGGCAGGGGTTTTTGAATAATATCAGGGCCAAGGTGCCCGTCGGAACCTAAACCCTACCTATAGTCTCCATTGTAGTTCCTGTTTTTGGTTTAACCAGTTATATATTAAGGATTTCATAAGGTATCCCCAAAAAGGAACTACAATGGAGACTACAGGTAAACCCTAAGATCAGCGCCAAGGTGCGCGCCGGGGAACCGAATCCAAGCAAAGCGGTGCCTCACTGGCACCCGCACCTCCCGGACCGGATTCGCTGAAGTGGGCTTGGATTTAGGAAGACGTTTTGGCGGCTATGGTTCAGGGTTTAGGGATGATTGTTGTAGGGCCTAACTGTCCACATACACAGGTTGGCTGTACGGCTTTACTTAATCTTGTCCTGCTGCACCGACCCACCTGCCAGCACAGGCTGCATTGATCGAACTGTGGCCGAAACAGTCTTAATTGCGTGCGGGCTAACTCTGGGGTCTGCACGAACATCGAACTGTGGCCGAAACAGTCTTAATTGCATCGACAACACTGACAGTGACATTCACAGCAACAGTCAGAGCAACAATAACATCAGCAACGCAAGTCAGCTGTCCTCGCCAGGGCGGTGACACACACACACACACAATCATAACATCAGTGCTACTCACGATCCTACTGCCATCACTGCAATATAGAGTGGAGTCTGGCTCCAGGAGCTCATACCCATCTCATCGGGATTGCGGCTTGGCAGCTAAGGCTGCGGGGCATCTCAGCACAAAAGGTCTAGAACAGTTTGAGCTGAGCTGAGGTGGTCTTGTACCCATAACCCAACACCTCCTCAAAATTCAACTTAATCCTACGGGTCCATGTACTCACATAGTATACACATTGGCCCCAAAGCACCTATAGCTTTAGGGCCAAAGTATCTAGTACTTTTGTACATGGACCCTTTGGGTAAGATTTGTGGCACACCTTTGTGTCCTCAATGTGAGAGATTGCTTTCATGCGTCCGCAAATCAAAGAAGAGTCCCACAAGCTCCGCTGCCTTCTCAGCCCCTATGGCTTCAATAACCAGCTCTTGCTCTGTCCTTTTTTTCAGGTTTCGAAACCCTAAACCCCAAACGCTTGTTCTAGTCTATGTAAATCCAAACCCTGATTCCCAAAAGCTTGAGGCTCTGCCTACGTTACGGCTTCAAGACCTACCTTAATCACAAACAGCCTACCTTCTTCAGGACTTATATAAGCAAATCATAATAAGGAGCCCTCAACGTAAACCCTAAACCCTAAACCCCTAGAAGGGTAGGTTCTTTAGGGTCAAGGTAGGCTCAAAGCACACGAGCCCTACAGGCAAAAAGCCCTGGAAGTGTCAACTCTCCAGGTGGGTTTAGGGTTTAGAACCCTAAACCCCTCAACACCCTAAACCCTAAACCCCTAAACCATCCTAAACCGTAAACCCCTAAGCACCCTAAACACCCTAAACCCCTAAAATCTAGGGGTTTAGGGTCTACGGGTTTCCCTAAACCCTAAACCCTAAACCCTAAACCCTAAACCCTAAAATCTAGGAGAATCTAGGGGTTTAGGGTTTAGGAACAGCTAGAAGCCCCAAGGCCCTCCTCTGGGAGTATAGGGGCCTTAGCAATTAGAATAAGGGTTTTGGGGTATAGGGTTTAGGGTTTAGGGTTTAGGGTTTAGGGTTTAGGGACTATTTTTGATTTGAACCCTCAAGAATTAAGGAACCCCTCAAAATAGTAGAGGTAATTATCTTTAAGCCCCTATCTTAGGGCTCTTGATTTGTGATGGGGTTTGTTATCCTACAGCTTCAGCAGGAGCTCTGGGGAAAAGTATTGCTTCGTATTCCGGCTTCTCTACCCTAAACCCTAAGCCCCTAA